AAAAAAAAAAAAAAGGCCAGGGACCTTATCTCATGCCCCACTAAATCACAGGCCCTAGGGCAGCTCCTGAGCCCTGGCAGACCACGTGGTGAATGCAGGTACTGATAGTAGTGCGTGAAGGGAAGCGGTGTCAAAGTACCAAATACAGGCCACTCATTCCAGGATTTGGGAGTAAAGGCTCCAAGCAGTTAATGAAAGGGCCATGTTAACAACTACACACAGTTTTACAGTGGAAAATTGCTATTTTTGCATAACTGCAAAAAGTCAATTCCTTGGGAATGCAAGCTGGTGCAGCCACTCTGGAAAACAGTATGGAGGTTCCTCACAACACTAAAAATAGAACTACCTTACGACCCAGCAATTGCACTACTAGGCATTTATCCACGGGATGCAGGTGTGCTGTTTTGAAGGGATACACACACCCCCATGTTTATAGCAGCACTATCAACAGTAGCCAAAGTATGGAAAGAGCTCAAATGTCCATCAACAGATGAATGGATAAAGAAGATGTGGTGTGTGTGTGTGTGTGTGTGTGTGTGTGTGTATACACACACACACACACACACACACACACAATGGAGTATTACTCAGCAATCAAAAAGAATGAAATCTTGCCATTTGCAACTACGTGGATGGAACTGGAGGGTATTATGCTAAGTAAAATTAGTCAGAGATGGACAAAAATCACATGACTTCACTCATATGAGGACTTTAAGAGACAAAACAGACGAACATAAGGGAAGGGAAACAAAAATAATATAAAAACAGGGAGGGGGACAAAACAGAAGAGACTCATAAATATGGAGAACAAACTGAGGGTTATGGGAGGGGTTGTGGGGGGGGGATGGGCTAAGTGGGGGAGGGGCACTAAGGAACGTACTCCTGAAATCAGTGTTGCACTATATGCTAGTATGGATGTAAATTTTTAAAAATTAAAAATTAAAAAAAAAACCAGTAATCCTTTTAACTGACCAGCTGAAAATAAAGAGAGCCAATTTCTCTTGAAATTTAGAGGCTATCTCTGTAGGACTATTCAGAGAAATCCACCTCTGTACCACAAAGAACTCAGAAAACAACAAAAGAACAGAGGTAACTACTCTACCTGACAGTCTGTATTGCCATTACATCTGTCATATATCTACTTTATGGCTCTCCAACCCCACTGCAAATCCAGGAGAGCAGGCCGCCTCGGTCCCAGTCTGTCACACAGTAAATGCTAACTACATATTTGCTGAACAAATTAACAAAACATTTCAGGAGCAGCTTCCAATGCTCACATCTCAACGGCACTACATCAAAGTGTCAGCCTGATCGCCATGCACAGCGAGGAGGATGGTGAAGAGGTGGATGTCCAGAGCAGGTGTCTCTAGAGAAAAGAGGAAAATCAAACTGAAGACCTCCCTCTCCACCTTTGGCAGCAATTTCCAAATGATGCAACATTTTAGTCTTTTTGTTCCCCAAACTACAAGATCCAAGTGTCTTACTGAAACTCCAAGCGAGGGCCTAGAATGCAGACAGCTGGGACCCACAGGCTACCAGAAGATAAACTAAGCATATACGAGCAGCAAGAGCTAAAGGCACTGTCGGGGCCTGCGAGGTGGGAGCATGAACTGGGGGGGGGGGGGGGACGGGGACAGCAGGCACCTCCACTGGAGAGGGGAGGCCAGACACACGAAGAAACCGCTCCTGAGGTAAGGCAGTCTTACCAGATGAGCCCATCTCCTCCAGACGGGAGTGCGGAGGGCACTCCCAGCCAGGGGAGCAACAGGGGCCAGGGCAGAGGTGGGAAAGCACCCACTGCCTGCAAGCAGCCTTGGTCAGGCCACAGGTCATGGTGCTCGAGGCTCGTGGTGACAAGGCCAGAGTCCAGGGGAGTAAGCCAGAGGACAGCTGCATTCTGAAGGCAGGAGCCTGCGGGGAGAATGAATGGGGCTGGGCAGTGCCAGGAAAGGGAAGACAACTCGGTGGTAGTGGCATGATCACAGCCCAACAGATACGCTGTACTCTCTTCCCTAGCCCTCTGCCAGAATGAGGCTCATGCCTCTCCCTGGAAAGCAAAACACCCAGCCAGCACCTTCTCAGTCTTTTCAGACACTATTAAACTCGGGGATGCAAAGGAGAGTCTAGAGACTCTAGTGAGAAGTGAGAGCAACTTCACTACTCAAACCACCTGTCTCGGCATGAATGGGCAGTAAATCGTGTCAATGTCCATGAATCCTGTCCATTCCTCAGAAAGTTAAAAACAGAACTACCCTACAATCCAGTAACTGAACTACCAGGTATTTACCCGAAAATTATAAAAACACTAATTTGAAGGGATACACGCACCCCAATGTTTACATCCGCATTATCAACAATAGCCAAATTATGGTAAGCCCAAATGTCTATGGACTGATGAATGGACAAAAATGGAGTATTACTCAGCCATTAAAAAAAAAGAAGGAAATCTTGCCACTTGCAACCTCTATGGATCTAGAGGGTGTAACGCTAAGTGAAATAAGTCAGAGAGAGACAAATCCCATATGATTTCACTCATATGTGGAATTTAAGAAACAAAACAAACAAGAAAGGAAAGACAGAGAGAGGCAAACCAAGAAACAGACTCCTAACTACAGAGAACACACTGATGGCCACCAGCAGGGAGGTAGATGGGGGGATGGGAGAAGTAAGTGATAGGGATTAAGGAGTGCACTTGGGATGACCACCAGGGGACCTATGCAATTGTCGAATCACTATATTGTCCACCTCAAACTAACATCACGCTGCATGTTAACTATAGCAGATCTAACATTTAAAACTTAAAAAAAAAAAAATTAAATCCCAACCAATCACAAAGATGGTCATTGTCCTATTTTTAGAGGTTCGAGTGGAGGCTGATAAAAGGGGAAGAGAGGGCAGTTTTGCTTATGCAAAAGAGAAAAAATGGGGAGGGGCAAAGAGTTTAAACAGGAATAGCAAAATCCTCCCAGGTAGGATTCACAGACAGGAAAAAAAATCACAACAAAATGGGAAAATTTAATCGTTTAACTGAGGTGATACCTCAAGTAAGTAAATACATTTAAAGAATAAGTCAACACATTTGACGAAAACCAAATCTGGGGCACTTGGCTGGCTCAGTCGGTAGAGCGTGTGACTCTTGATCTCAGGGTCATGAGTTTGAGCCCCACGTTGCGTGTAGAGATTACTAACTTAAAAAA